CCATGGCCCACCGATGACTTAATGAGTCTACTATTAGGCTGTTTCCACCCTGTTTCTATTAGAAACAGAGCTGTGATGAATTGCATTGGATACAGAAGACTGGCTTTTTCAGGAAAATTAGTAGGGGCTTAAATATTTATTGAATGAATGATTGAATGAAAGGTAGATGGCTTAAAAGCAAGGAGGGATGTGAATGAATGAACCCGGAGGTCAATTATGAGGCTACTGAAGTTATCTGGGAACATAAAAGAGAGAGAGATGAAAGAGATATATATTTAGGATATCCGGTAAGACTAGGTGGCCTATGAAGTGTTAGGAGTAGGGGACAGAAATAATCAAAGATGATTTCTTGGAATAGTAGTAATATATTAGACAAATAAAAATATGTTTATCAGAGATGAAAATAGCACCACTTTTATTGGGAAATAACATGCACAGAATTGGAACAACTACTAGCAAGGAGCGTCAGTGGAAACAGAATGTAGGATCAATGATCATGGTTTCCTAATTTCTGTTTCTTCTGATCTTGTTTTTCTAACTCTTCTGCTCTTGTTGCTAAACCACACTCAATCTCTCTTATTTCCACCTCCTTATCTCTCTGACTTCTTTCCCCCCCTGTTTAATTTGAACCCTTCTTTTAAAAAATTTATTGAAAAAATTTAAATTTTAATTGACAAATAATAATTGCATATATTATGTATTTGTGAGGTACAATGTTATGTTTGATATGTTTACATTCTGGAATGATTAAATCTAGTTAAGTTAACAGATCCATCACCCCACATAATTATTTTGTGGTGAAAACACTTACAATCTATTCTTTTTGTAATTTTGGGATATACAGTGCATTATTATTTATTATAGTGACCACTCCATGCCATAAACCTCTAAAGCTTATTCCTTCTGTGTAACTGAAAGTTTGTACCCTTTTGATTAACATCTCTCGTTTCCCTATCCACCCCTCTCTCTCAGGCTCTGATAACTACCATTCTGTTATCTACTATTCAATTTTTTTTTAGATTCCACATATAAGTGAGGAATTTGAATCCTTATGAAGTCCTTTCTGAAGTCAAGGTATTTGCCATTCTGTGCCTGGCTTATTTCATATAGTATAATGTCCTCCAGGTTCATTCATGCTTATCCAAATAAAAGAATTTCCTTCTTTTCTAAGGCTGAATAGTATTCCATTATATTTATATACCACATCTTCTTTATCCATTTATCCAGTGATGGATAGATACCTAGGTTGCTTCCGTATCTTACTATTGTGAATAATGCTGTAATGAGCATGCAAATGTAGATATCTCTTTGGCATACTGGTTTTATTTCTTTTGGCTGTATACCCAGAAGTGCGATAGCTGGATCATATGGTAATTCTATTTTAGTTTTCTGAGAGATCTCCATACTGTTTTCCATAATCCCTTTAAATTAAACATTCCCACAGCAGGGCACACAGGGTTCCCATTTCTCCTCACCTTGCCAACACTTGTTATCTTTCATCTTTTGACAAGAGTTGATTAAACAAGTATGAGATGTTATCTCATTGTGGTTTTGATTTGTGTTTCCCTGATGATTAGTGATGATGAGCATTTTTTAAATATGTGTTGGATATTTGTATGTCTTTTTTTTTTTTTTTTTTTTTGAGGCAGAGTCTCACTCTGTTGCCTGGGTTAGAGTGCCGTGGCATCAGCCTAGCTCACAGCAACCTCACACTCCTGGGCTCAAGCGATCCTCCTTCCTCAGCCTCCCGAGTAGCTGGGACTACAGGCATGCACCACCACGCCCGGCTAATTTTATATATATATATATATATTTTTAGTTGTCCAGCTAATTTATTTCTATTTTTTTTAGTAGAGACAGGGTCTTGCTCATGCTCAGGCTGGTCTCAAACTCCTGAGCTCAAACTGTTTGCCCACCTCGGCCTCCCAGAGTGCTAGGATTACAGGTGTGAGCCACCACACCCGGCCATTGTTTTTCTTATTGTGAGCACTATCTATTCAGGTCCTTTGCCCATTTTTTAATTGGGTTCTTTGCTTTCTTGCTATTGAGTTGAGTTCTATTAATTGTTTCTTTTGCTGTGCAGAAGCTTTTTAGTTTGATGCAATCACATTAATTTTACTAACAAAATTATGGGAATTTTGTTAGGGAATGCATTGATTCTGTGGATCGCTTTGGGTACTATGGGCATTTTAACAATATTAATTCAACCAATCCATGAACACAGTACCTTTTCATTTATTTTTGTTGTCTACTATTTTTTCATCAATGTTTTATAGGTTTTATTATACAGATCTTTCACCTCTTTGGTTAAATTTACTCCTAAGTATTTTTTTTTTGATGCTATTGTGAGTGGGATTGATTTCTTAATTTCTTCTTCTTCTTCTTCTTCTTCAGATAGTTTATTGTTAGTATAAAGAAATGCTATTGATTTTTGTATCCTGCAACTTTACCGAATTTATTTATCAGTTCTGACAGTTTTTTTAGTGGAGTCATTAGAGTTTTCTATATATAAGGTCATGTCATCTTCAGCCAGGAGCCTGCTGTTTATTTCTTTCTCTTGCCTAGTTTTTCTGTCTGAGACTTGTAGTACTATACTGAATTGGTAAGAGTAGGAGACCTTATCTTGTTCTGGATCTTAGAAGAAAAGCTTTCAATTTTTCCCCATTGAGTATGATGTTAGCTGTGGGCTTTTCATATATGATCTTTATTGTGTTGAGGTACATTCCTTATATGCCTAATTTATTGAGAGTTTTTATCATGAAAAGATGCTGAATTTTGTCAAATGTTTTTTCTGCATCAATTAAGACAATCATATGGCATTTGTCCTTCATTCTGTTAACATGTGTATCACATGTACAGATTTGTATATGTTGAGCCATTCTTTGGTCCCAGGGATAAATCCCAGTTGATTATGGTATTTGATCCTTTTAATGTGCTGTTAGATTGGTTTGCTGGTATTTTGTTGAGAATGTTTGCATCTGTGTTTGCATCTCAGAGATATTAGCCTGTGATTTTCTTTTCTTATAGTGTCCTTTGCTGGCTTTGGTATCAGGGTAATGCTGGTCTCGTAAAATGAATTTGGAAATGTTCCCCCTTCTTCAATTTTTTGGAAGACTTTGAGAACTTTTGGCAGTTCTTCTTTAAATATTTGGTAGAATTTTGCCATGAAGCCCTCTGGTCCCGGGATTTTCTTCAATGGGAGTTTAAAAATTATTAGTGTTATTGATTCAGTCCCCTTACTTGTTACCAGTCTTTTCAGATTTTCTATTTCTTGATTCAGCCTTGGTAGGTTGTGTGTTTCTAGGAATTTATCCAATTTTTTCTAGGTTATCCAATTTGTAGGTTTATAATTGTTCCCCTGTGATCCTTTTTATTTCTGTGGCATTAAACCCTTGTTTATAAAAGATCAGAGACTTGACAGTTCCTAGGCTGCTGAGAAGTCTATGAGTTGACTTTTCATTCAGATTATTTGAAAATAAGACATTGTGTCTGCAAAAAGTGTATTTCTGACAGATGATATATTAAATGGTGGAGGGCCTGTGGTTTTTTAAAAAACTGAGATAATTCATACACCATACAATTCACACTTTTTGAAGTGTACAAATTCCATGGTTTTTAGTATAGTCACGAGATGCTATAACCGTCATCACTATCTATTAATATTCCCGAACATTTCATCATCCCAAGAAGAACCCCCATACCTGTTAGCAATCATTCCCCCATTCCTGCCTTCCTGTGGTCTCAGGCAGCCACTAGTCTACTCTCTGTTTCTTTGGATTTGCCTATTCTGGACAGCTCATATGAATGGATTCATATAATTTGTGCCCTTTGTGAATGAATTCTTTCACTTAGTGTAATATTTTCAAGGTTCATCCATGCTGTAGGATGAGCCAGTACTTCATTTCTTTTTATGATGGAATATTATTCCATTTTATGGATATACCATACTTTGTTTATCTGTTCATGAGTTGATGGACATTTGGGTTGTTTCCACTTTTTAGCTGTTGTAAATAATGCTGCTGTGAATGTTTTTGTATAAGTTTTTATGTGGACATGTATTTTCCTTTCTCTTGAGTATATACCTAGGAGCGTAATTTTAGGGTCATATGATGATTGTTTTCATAGATTTTTGGAGAACTGCCAGAGAGTTTTTGAAAGCAGCTGTACTATTAATATTTTACATTCCCATGAGCAATGTATGACGGTTCCAATTTCCCCACATTTTATCAACACGTGTTATTTTCTGTCTTTTTCATTACAGCCATGCTAGTGGTTACAAAGCGGCATCTCATTGTAGTTTTGATTTGCACTTCCCTAATGACTCATGGTGTTGAGGGTGTGTCTACATTTGTTACCTGAAAGTTTTCAGTATGATCTTCAGATCCTGTGCTCAGTGTTGGGAATACAGAGGTTGCCCCAGTTGCTGTCATCTTTGAGTTTAGAGTTCATGAGGAAAGGTAGTTAGGATTTTAATAAAGACTTACACATAGTCCCTTAGTAAACTTTAAAATTTTCTATTTCCCTGATGTAAGTCTCTTCTATTATCATTGGTGGCCAAAATGCATGCAGTGAATATTTAAAGATATTATATGTGGCATTTTTACATTTGCTTTTCAAAGTAATTCAAAAGAAACAAAGATATATTAAAGGAAAATATATATGAAGAAAAAAGTGGGATGGATATCCTCTCTGCCTCTGTATTCTAGCTATTAGTGGCTTGGTGACTTATTCTAGACCTGTTTCCCTGACATGCCCAGATTCTTATCATGTGTAGGTTTGACTAATGAGATTATTTTCCTAAAGAATTTTTGCTTCTTTTTGTGACTAGTTGTTCACTTTCACTGGGGTATAGAGTTGCATGCTATAAATAAGGTTACAGTCATTTCTGTGATGAGGGTTTACTAACTAGTGAGTGCTTACTCGGTGCTAGGAACTTTGCACCGTATACAGGCACACTTTGGCGTGCTGCGTGACTGCCTGTGTTTCCCCTTTCGCTGCAGATGGTGCTCATCCCTGCTGGAGTATTTACAATGGGCACGGATGATCCGCAGATAAAGCAGGACGGGGAAGGCCCTGCGAGGAGAGTTGCTATTGATGCCTTTTACATGGATGCCTACGAAGTCAGTAATGCTGAATTTGAGAAGTTTGTGAACTCCACTGGCTACTTGACAGAGGTAATGGGATGGGGGGAAGGAGGAAGAACTTGTTCATTTTCAGAACTTTTAAGAATGTTTTAGTAACCTTGAGTGCAAGTAATTCAAAAGAAACAAAGATATATTAAAGGAAAATATATATGAAGAAAAAAGCGGGGTATCCTCTCTGTATTCCAGCTATTAGCGGCTTGGTGACTTATTCTAGACCTGTTTGCATAGCATGCCCAGATTCTTATCATGTGTAGAACCTTGACTGACCACTTTTACTATGTGCCCAGTACTGTGCTAGGCACTTTATGCATGTGAACTTGGGTGAAGTCTGATTTCTCACAGCAACCTCAGGAGGTGGGTTACTTTTCAGGTAGCAGACTGAGGATTAGAGAAGTGATTTGCCCTGAGTCGCACAGCTAGTGGAGCTGGGACTCAAGCCCGGCCAGTGTGACCTCAGAATCTGTGTTCTTAACCATTATGCCTTATGAAGTTAATGCTTTAATATGCCAGGGAGTGCCACTGTCTGCTTGGGCTTTTTGAGATAACAGATGGCATGTAAAGTAAAGCCCCTTTTCCTTCTCAATCAATTGCAATTGGCTTGTTCCAGAAGCGTCACATATTTCTTAAGTGATAAATGCAGAAGTGCGGCTTTTCATTTTTGTGGCTTTGTCCCAGTGCCTTGACAGCTCACAGGCTGTCCTGTGGCGGCTCCAGGCATTATCCTGTGGTCACTGAATCACAAAGCTAGGTCCTAAAAGTGGACATTGTCCTCAGTGGGGGTGGGGAGAGGAAGGCTTTCTGGTTCATGAACATTTCTGAGAGTGTCTGGAATATACATGATTAGTACGCTTCCCATTTTCTCTCACCAGAGAACTTTACCCTTGTCTGCAGTTTGTGGAGTCCCAGATCTTCTTTTTTAGACCTCAAACACTGTTTTATAATTAAAAAAATTAAGGGCAAGTGCTTAAAGCAAAGCAATATTCAATTCAAATTTGGTTTTGCATCGTCACATTTCTTTGGAATTTCCTAAAATATACAAAGCGGTCATGAATCTTTTTTGTACATATTTGTAGTAAGCAAAGTCCCTGTCATTTTTGTTTCATAGGGATATTCTGAGATCGAGTTCCTCAATAGTCTACTTAAGTTAGAAGACTTCAAGGGACCAGGGTTCTCCATGAAGATTAGATAGAAATAAGCAGAATTTAGGGCATCCAAGAAGTTGGATGGGGAAAACTTATATCTGGATATTTACTACCCTCTAACTGAAATTTAGCATTTTAGTTATGCTTCAGTTATGACAGAGACAACAAACCATAGTGGCAATAGCTTTCCCTGTGACTTTGTCACCTGTAGAAATCACAGACACTTTTCATTATATTGTTGCAGATATCTTGAAATATTGTTTGCATTCATGTCCACTTTGAAATACGATAATTATGAGACCTGCTATTAGGTTTTATTTAATGTATTAATAAAGAGCATATATATTATTAGAGTACAAATTTATTAATATTTTGATACAACTAGTTTTCTTAGCAATTTTACTGATTTTATTGTATGCATTTAAGCATTTTGTTCTGAGAAGGAGTTCCTTAAGATTCACCATGCTGCCAAAGGGGTGTAGGGGCGCAAAAAGTGTTAAGAAGCCCTGCCTTGACAAAGAGATGTAAAGGTCATAGGAAATCAAGCGGGGGTGGGGGGGAAGGAGGGGAGTCAAAATCTACCTCTTGGGTATAGTGAACACTATTTGGCTAATGGGCACACTAAAAGCCCCAACTTAAGCATTATTAAAGGTATCCATGTAACAAAAACATTTGTACCCCCTTAATATTTTGAAATAAGAAAAAAATAAATTAAAAAAACAACAATAGAAAACAAACCCCCTGTCTTGGACAAAAGTGTTTCCTATTTTATGGCACTTTACAGATTTTTTCCCCATCTCTCCAGCTTAATTTTACGTCACGCTCCTCTTGTGCACCATGTGCTCGCCCTGCTGGTTTTGTTTCTGTTCCTTGAAAACTCAGCATTCTTTCCCATTTTGGGAGCTTGGCCTGTATTTTCCGTCTGCTTGGAATTTGCAGCGCCCTGGCTGGTTCCCGCTTCGCATGGCTGGCTCCTTCTCAGCCTCGAGTCATCTCAGCTTTCTCAGGGAGGCTGCTTCTGCGCGCTCCAGCGAAAGGAGGTTTCCTCGACTCTCTTTACCTTCCAGGCTGAGGGGAAGTTGTTGTTTTCTTCCTTTCTTTATTTGGCTTGACTTTTGTGTGTGCCCCCACACTTAAGCAGAGTAAGGATGGGGACCATGCGTACCTGATACTGACCTTGTATCCCTTCATTTAGCCCCCAGCTGGGTACATGGTAGGGTTTGATGCATGTTTTGTTTTTTTTTTAATATAAATTTAAAAAAAT